GGTTTGATGTTTGTAACTTGTTTGAAAATAGGTTACGAGTTGGATCTATTTACCCTATTTTTGCATCAAAAGAGAGATTAGAGTAAGGTATTGGGTTGTTTAGTTGGGAATTTTGATAAGATCAAAAAGATATTCTATGCATAGATGCTTTGTGATCGAAAGATGATTAGAGTCACTGAAGATGACCTAGCATATTCATGAATGTTTCTCACTATAGAGCAACACAATTTCCCCTATGTGACATCGATTTCCAATCACCGCACCTCTAGAGTGCTTGTTAACTCTCAAATTCTTTGAAATTTTAGTTTAATTGTGATAACTTAACACCAAAGATTTTTATTAAATTGGTGGAATCATCCACCCAATTGTTCTTACTATTACAAATGAGCAATTTTACAATCCTAATTTCTAGATCAAAATTCTCTACTATATATCATTCTCTCTGAGATTCGACACTGACTCTTTGTTAGGTTTTTATTGACTACGATTGTTGTCCCTTTTAACTGGTTTTAAGGAGGACACTTGAGCGTGATAAAAAATGGCACCGCTACCAGGAAATGGTGGTTGAGAATTCTAATTGTGAAATTATATTTTAATATTATTTAGTTGTAGTAGATTGTTGTTTTGTGTTGTTTTTGGCTAATTTGCAGGCCTTATACAATGAGTGACCATGGTAGTGACAACGATTGTCACTATGGTGAAAACGACAATATTGGTGATTTTAACGATATGCATATGAATATTGTTCAAACAACACCACAGTCGGGTGGGTTGTGTTTCACATTACTAGAACAATGCTACAATTGCTCCAACTGAAAGGAAATTTTGGGGGCCTAGCTCATGAAGATCCCCATGAACACCTTAGTAATTTTATAGAGGTATGTGGACCATTTGTGTTCAGGAATATATCTCAAGAGTTCGTAAGGTTGAGGTTATTCCCGTTCTCTTTAACGGGAGAGGCTACTAGATGGTTGGCAAAATTGTCAAATGATTCTATCACTTCGTGGGAGGAGCTAAATGATGCCTTCTTGGAGAGATTCTTTCCACCCTCGAAGATTTTTAAACTTCGAACCCAGATCCAATATTTCAAGCACATAAGAGGTGAACCTCTACATGAGATGTGACTGAGGATTGGCTTTCATCCCCAAATCGATGGGCAAGCGGAGCGTACTATCCAAACTTTGAAAAATATGTTAAGGGCTTGTGTGATCGATTTTAAGGGTAATTGGGGTGACCATTTGCCATTGATTGAGTTTGCTTATAACAATAGCTATCACTCGAGTATTCATATGGCTCCATTTGAGGCCTTATATGGTAGGAGGTGTAGATCTCCTATAAGATGGTTTGAGGTGGGTGAAGTCGCCCTAATAGATCCCGAGTTGGTACATGAGGCCATAGAGAAAGTTTCACTTATAAGAGAAAGGTTGAAAATGCCTCAAAGTCGGCAAAAGTCATAAGCCGATGTGAGAAGAAGGGATCTTGAGTTTGATGTTCATGATTGGTATTACTTGAAAATCTCACCCATGAAGGGTGTAATGAGGTTTGGCATGAAATGGAAGCTTAATCCCCGATATGTAGGCCCGTATCAGATTTTGAAACGTGTTGGTAAGGTTGCTTATGAGCTAAAATTGCCAAATGAGTTGGCATCGGTGCATCCGATTTTCCATGTCTCTATGTTGAAGAAATGTGTTAGTGATCCGACATCCATAATTTCCTTAGAAGGGTTGGGAGTTGAGGAGAATCTTTCTTATGAGGAAGTTCAAGTTGAGATTTTGGACCGACAAGTGAAGAGGTTGAGAAATAAAGAAATAGCTTCCGCGAAAGTGTTGTGGAGGAATCAGTTAGTTGAGGGTGCTACTTGGAGGCCGATGCCGATATGATGTCCCAATATCGTCATCTCTTTCCTTCTAATCCTACTATAGCTTGAGGTAATAAGTTCCTCATGGTTTTTTCCTTGTTTTGAAGTCATGTGTTTTTATATGTTTCCATGATTTCCTTATTAAGCATGCTTTGTAAAAGTTAAGTTTTGAGAAAATGAGTTAATTTGATTGATTTCTACATGTTTTTGTGCACTTGAGTATGAATTGTAGACTACTTGATAAGATGTTGTGAACATGATGTTATCTTGGAGTTGATGCTTCCTCCTCGGATTTGTGCATTTCATGCATATTGGGCTGTTAGACTTAGTTTCACCCCTCTTATGATGTTTTGGTAATGTCTTAGATTAGAGTCGATAGTTTCTCCTTGGTTGTATGCATTGCACTGTAGGTTGGTTGTTAGTTCCTCTCCTACTCTTTTCGTATCAACTTGAATCTCATTCGAGGACGAATGATCCTAAGGGGGAGATATTGTAACATCCCGGATCCGAAAGAAGGCAACATAGCCGTTTTCAGGAATTCCAGGTGCCAGCCACGAGAGGCCAACCAAGGCCTGTAGAAGGGACCACGGACCATGGGTGGGGTCCGTGGACTGGTCACCCTCAAGTTCTTCGGAGGCTTAGGACCACGGCCTTACCAACATACCGTTGGTCAGACCACAGTCCATGGTTGGGGGGTTCGATGCCCAAGAACCCTTTCTAACCACCATCGACGGTCTAACAGGAAGGACCGTAGGTCAGTCCATGGTCCGTCGCTGGGGTCCGTAGGTGGTGAGTCGGCAGTTAAGTTCAGGGGTAGTTGGGTATTTTACTAATTAATTAACTCCTATACTACGTAGTTTTATCCTTTACTAAGACCCCTATATAATTAGTTTCAACCCCCAAATAAACCCATTCAAGTCATCCTTCCAAAATCACAAAAGAAGATCAATTCTCATCTCCAAAATATTTCTCTCTCTAGAAACTTGAAGAAGAAGAAAGGTTCAACATAGGGTTTGAAGGCAAGCCTCCATTTTCACCATTAAATATAAGGTTTTGGCTTTGAGGTATGATAATATTTATCCATGGATTCCTTCCATTCATGAAGTTCCCAAATTCCTCTATTTCAAAGTTAGAATTCCCCAATTGATTTAGGGTTTTCTTCAATTATCATGGGTTCTTTTCATTATTAATTTCAATGATTGAATTATGATTTCTTATGCATGAATTGATGAAGTACTATGATTTTATGATGATTTCCCCTATGAACTAATGTAATCCCCATGTTTTCATGTTATGAGTCATATGATATATGTGGGATTTTGATTATAAAGAAAGAGTTTTATGAAATTAAGCATATATTGCTAGCTTTACCTGAATTTATGATCAAATTCATATCTAATCCTTGTTTTCTAAGTATTGATGATTGAAAGTGGGTTTTGACCGTGAAATGTAAATTATGGATTTATGCATGTTCTTATGAAATTTATGCAAATGTTACAAGGGTGCTTTGAGAATAAAGTATCAATGATGTTGTAGTTGTGTTATTGAAAGGACATTCTCATAAAAACACAAAGAAAGATGTGAAAGGTTTTCTCACATAATAAAGGATTCTAAGGTTGAAAGGTGTTCTCACCTAATTGAATCAAAGATTAAGAGCTATCCTAATGAACCTAGCTTGGATTGGTTATTGAAAGATACCTTTCCATGGATGATGACTTAGCTTGGATTGGCAAGATGATGTGCCTTTTCATGGATAATAAGAACAAGTAAGAAATGACTATTCTGTGAGATTTGTGCTTAGCACCGAGAGAATATTGAGATGGAAGCTCCCCCATTAGTAGAGACCGGGTTTCTAGTAGCAATCTCCTTATCCCTTACCTATGTGCTCCCATAGGACGATTGTCTGGATCCACTTTAGCACAGATTTATGGTCCTTACCTTGGAAAGTAGGACAGCCCTTTTTGGTGTGGGAGACACTGGGATCATGTTATAGCTCACATGGTCTCTATGTCGGTTAAAGCTAATTCCCCACATTAATAATGAACTAAGGTTACTTCAAGAAGTATCTCATGAGTGTTCAGAGGCTTTAAAGATGATTAGCTTACATTGACCATGGTTTTATGACTTATGTTTTCTAACTCTTTTATATCATGTTTTAGCTTGGTCAATTACATGTCATTTCATGACATGTTCCTTTTTATCATGATTTAAATGTTTCATGCATACCTATCATACTTGATACATTATTTTGTACTAACGCACACTCTTGCCTACATTTCCCCAAATGTAGGGTCCGACAGTCAGGTTTCTCAGTTTCGTGGCTAGTGTTTAAGTTCGAGGTTTCTCGAGCTTTGGTGAGTCCTCGTGCTTCGAGGTCGGATGTTTATTGTTTCACTTTCGTTCATGTATTTCACTTTTGGACATGATTTATGGGCTAGGACTAATTTCATTCTATTGTACTAGATGGCTATATTGAGACAAGTATTTACGCTTCCGCTTTTCTTTTATAAAACTATTGGACTTGGACTATTGTTTTACTCTTATTGTTCTATTTCTTATGTGATGAAAGCTAAGTGGCTTGTATGGGGTCCTTCGGGGTTCTATACGTATGTTACATCTAAGGGGTACCCCTGGGTCGTGACAATAAATAGGGGATGTACATGACATTCTAAGGAAATTAAGAAAACTCTTCAACAAACATTCTGCAATTGGAGAAAGCTACAACACCAGCTACAAATAGCTCTTCGAAGGAATGGTCAACGGAGTTCTTCCCGGAGATCAACTTGCAACGACGAAGTGCTTCCCGACGTTCTCAGAGATCAAATACATCTCAAGGAGGTCTACATCATCCTACATTCGAGAAATACGCTATTGAAGGCCCTTGAATCACGGAGAAGCTTAGGAGAGAAGAATCAAGAAAACAACAGAATTGTATTCACAAATTTATCAATAAAAATCACATTTTTCTTTTATTTATTTTGCTTGCAGTTAATTTTTAGTGCTTACGGAAATTTGTTGCGAACAACAACCATATGTAAAATGAATAAATAAAAGAGACAACAAAGATGAATTTTTTTTAAAAATGAAATTCTAGAAACATCATTGCATAACAAGTAACGACGATATACCAGACAATTTGAGATTGAATATTTTTACAATACAAATGCATACATCATAGTAGTTTCATGACATGATATTCTTTCAAAGAGGATCATTAAAAGGGTTTAATAGTGTATGAGTTACAGTAGCCCCAAATTAAATTTAGAGTTTAGACCTTATCTCATAATTTTATGTTATAAATTTAAAGTTTAGACCTTTTCAATTGTTCTCTTTCTGGAAGTTCCAAGTAACCCCAACGATCGTCATGGACCACTTCAGAAAACTGCATTACTATTGCATCGTGTACTTGCACCAACTTTGATGGTTCCCACTATACATGTACACAATAAACGCATTCATTATAACCATTGGTTTTTTCTTTTTTATTTAATCTAAAATTTGATAATCTTTTTCTATCACTTGAATAATTTAATTTGTTGTTAAATAAAAGAAAATGTATAGACATATCTGTATAATTAAATTCGAAGATTCGTGATACCTTAAACGTTTTGTCCTTTGTAAAAAAGATTGCTTTACCACCCTACAAGTTCAACCAACATTTGTATTACGTAATTAATAGAAAGTGTAAATTAAAATCATAATTTACATGATAGTATAACTTAAATGACATAACCCTACGTACCTCATAGAAATCGTTGTAATTGAATGATCTTAGTACAATGTGACTACTGATGTTAAATTCACGAATCAAACATTGTCTAAGTGTTTGCTTGCGTCCTTCTCTAATCTGTAAAACAAGATAAATTTTGTCACGTACATTCAAGAAATTAAATTTTAACTTAAAAACAATAATAGACTTGATTAAACTTTTTCTTTAGGAAAACCAACTAATAGTGAGCAGTTATTACAGATCTGAGAGTAATCTTAAGGCTTGTTGGTGATGCCAACTTCATAGACTTGATTGCATTGGTGATCCACTTATCATTCATTGCAGTGTTTTCCTTTTCCTATCAAACATAATAATATATATATATTCTAGTTAATTAGCAGTAAATACAGGATAATTTGTATGTTATATTGATAAAACGGTAAAATGTATACCTTTATTATGCAAAATTGTTCAATTTTATCCTCTATTATATTATATGTACACAAATGTCGTCTAAATGGTTCAAATATACTCCTCAACAAATTATTAGTGTCCATGTCAGATAGCCTTAACAAAGGAGGGGGTATTTTGAACTATTTAGATAATGAGAAAGATATTTTAATTTGTATAACAGAGGATAGAATCAAAAAAATTGGCCTAATTGAGGGAGTAAATTTGATGTTTTCCCCCTTTTCCTGTTTGCAAACAAATTTGATTTCACGTGGTAAAGAGGAACATTTGACCATTTTCCCTTTTTTCCTATTTTGTTTTAATATCCCTTCTTGCTCTATGGACAAACCTTCAATGTTCAAAGTCAAAACATATTAAACTTGACGTTTTTTGATGAAACAAACAGAGTCAAAAGTTGAAAATTCATTCTTGTAAATCACCTCTTGGTCAATGAGTTTTACTAACATAATTAAAAGGAGATAAGAGAAGGAGTTGATGATTAACTTACAAGTGCAAATAATATTTCTTCAACCGTGTCCTTGCCAAAGCAACCATTGATAACATCAAGTCTATTACATTGATGATTGATAAATGACAATGTCATACCACAAACAAAAAGATATTTTTAGGTAGATAAAGGAAATATTACACAAAGTTGTATTAATGCACTTCACTCTTTTGAAAAATGAGACAAAATTTTCTAATATTTTGTAGTCAACCATAGTCATTTGGTTTGTGAGCTAATCTCTCAAGTCATGTATAAAGCTAGAAATATTTGAATACAAAAAAAAATAATATTACCTTTTGAAAATACTTCCTTCCTTCAACACTGGATTACGAACGAATTCTTTGATGATTCTTGAAACGTCCGATTCATGAACAGATTTCGATGATGTATTTAGTGATAATGCTTGGCATAATGCGTTTTCCATCGACTCAATATCCTGCAAAAGGTTAAAGTGGTTCTGTTTAATGTATAAGAAAACAACAATACCGTGAGGTTTATTAACATGTAGAGCCTCAGCTTACATGAAAATAACTAAGCATACATGAATGGGGAACATGCTAACTCTGTTGTGCACTAGACCGTTCCACCGATGTTTGTTTTGAGTAATTAGAAGCCGACAAAGTAGGAACTCTTTTTGTTAGGCTACTTTTAGGAATAATATTATTAAGTACTATTTAAACATAAATAGTTAAAACTTTACATGAATATAATGCAAATAATTAATTTGCATTAAACTACCTTTTAGTGATCAAAGAAAAGAAAAAATTGTCTATTGATATTACTTATTCACTTGTTCCAAATATTACTCTGATCTCTTGTATTTGGGGGAGTTGTCATTTTTCAGTAATTGTATATGATGATATCATTGACATGTAAATAGTTTCTTTTGTATATTTATCAAAATTAGCAAAGCACAACCATAGGTATATATATTAGTTGATGATTTGCATTTATTAGTTCATGTAAAGCTAATTGTGAATGCATATTCTTAGAGTTCAATAATTCATATAATAGTTCTTGATTTCATTTGTTCCTATTTGTTTAGGTATCTAGTACTAGTATTCAGTAAGAAATGCAGCTAAGTCAATATTGAAACACAAGCACCAATAAGTTGTAGTCCTCTTAATCCTTTAAGAAATTTACTTATTTTAGTTTAGCAATGATATTCCTTTGCCATGTACATCATGAGAAGTTTTTCCACGTACGTCACATGTGAAAATTAAATGTCAATCTTGCAACATGCTTTATGAACAAACTGATTTTAGTTTAGCAATATATGCTTTATGAACAAACTAGATATTCCTTTTGTTTGTATTTTGAGTTTTGATAATGTAACAAACTATAGTGCAAAGGGATCTGGTCCTCAGAGTTTTCGACGTATAGGATACGTCGATTGTGCAGTTGTAGAGGTCCAGTTGCAACAGTGATTGGTGGGCACTGCAGCAGAGGCGCCAGTAATCCTCAACCAATGGCATGCTCCTAGGTTTTTGTATCTCTAATAAAAAGAACATGTTGACAAGATAAAAACCTAATTTTTGCATCAAGATTTTACACACAACAGAAAAATCTATTTTGAAGGAAGAACGTTACTCATATTCAACAAGGGAGCTGATCGAGTGTTACAATGTCTTTAATTACATTATTGAGTCTAGTGTTTTGTGCTCTTACATTGCATATCTACTCCTATGTTATAAAGGATGGTAAATTGTTTCTTGTCTCATTGTCTCACTTCATCAGATACTATCCAATGAAAAAAATTGAGTAGAAGGACTACATCAAAATTTCTGGTGACAAGGATAAACAGAGAGATGGGTCTCAGACAAGTCCAAAAGAAGAGTTGTTTTTCATTATATTGTCAAAAAGGCTCTTGCTGCTTGGGGAGACTCATCAAGTGAATTGGATGAACCAAAGCACCTAGAAGATGCTTCAATGATTGCTATGGAGGACGACGAATATGCCTTCAATTCACTCTTTGTTCTCATAGAAAAGTAAAAAAATTATGAGGATGAAGAGGTAACACCTCTTGACATTAAGCAAAATATTTATTATTATTCTCTCAAGAAACTAAAAGGCTTAGTTAACATCTTGATTGACTTACACTGTGAGCTCATTACTATAATTGATTTCTTAAGAGAAACTCTTGACATCTTAGAAAATGAGAAAGATTCATTAACTTCTCAAATCTCAGAACTGGGAGAAAAATTGGTTTTAGCAAGTGCTGTAAACACAACACTCAAGGAGAAATTAAAGAAAATTTTTGAGTCTGTTTCAAAGGGAAATAGTGAGGAAACTAGACTGCAACTAGAACTTCAAGAATGCTTTAAAGAAGTATGAATTGAATCTGGCTATATATTTAGAAAGAAATGTTTAGTTAGAAAAGAACTTGATCCGGGTGGATATATCACTGGCAAAGGTCTAGGGTGTCAAAAGTTTGATCCCCCATACAATCCCTAGAGTAAATATGTGTTTGTATCTGACAATATGTTATGTATTTAGTGTAGACGAAATGGACACCTTAAGAAAGACTGTCAAGCCTGGATAAAGACTGAGAATTTTTTTTCAAACTATGATAAATAGAAGAGAAAGTTTAGAAGGGGATCTGGTCCTGCTTCTAAGGTTAAGAAAGTCATATTGTCGGGCTGAACTAAAAGAAATCTCTGATTGCACCCTTATCTTCATTTTTGGAACTCAAACTTAAGTGGGTTCTCAAAACTAACAAATGATCTTACTGTGCAAGAGAGAGTAGAAGGTAGTAGTCATTATTGGTTCATGGATAGTGATGAATCTAAGAATTAGAACTCATCAGGGGTGTTTTAGTTCAATAACTAGTGTCCTTAATGTCATTTTACATCCAATGGTTAATTTTTGTTTTGCTTAAGGACAAGGCAAGAACAAACGCATGCAAAAAGAATCCAAAAACATAGAAAAACAAATAAAGTGTGAAGTTGATGCTCGCTGAAGGCATGTGGTGACTCAACAAAAGTGTCAGACCTCACCAAATATGACAAATTCTTCTACTAAAAAGCTCAAGGCAGGTCAGTGAGAAGAAGGAGCAAACAATGACTCACCAAACTTTGTCAGCAAGATGAAAAGTACTCGTTGAAAGTGACAGAACAACTAAGCTACAATAGAGATCAAAAAGGCGAGCAAAGGTAATAGTTGGTGACTCACCAAACATGAACAGTTATGGCCATCGGGCTCACCAACTATAGTTCAAACACCTAAAGCTTGTAATGAAGGAAGAAAAGGCGAGAACAAGTACTAGTCAGTGACTCGTTAAGTGAGCCGGTGACTCGTGGACTGGGCTGGAGACTCGCAGAGTGAGCCTGCGACTCGCTGAGTGAGTCGGTGACTCTCCAAATGAGTCAGCGACTCACCGAGCTGACTAATATCGCCAACTGGGTCACGAAATGAAATTTTGGTTGAGATTAGGGAAAGTATAAATAGTTGAGGAAAGAAAAATAACTCATCTTACACTCTCTAAAATTATAGTACAAATTAAAAGAACATTCTTAGATTTTGTGTGTTAAGCAAGTTTGTAATTCATTTTGGTGGAATTTGGAGCTAGGTTTCTAAGATTTTGAAGTTTTAATATATCAATTTATATGGCTGACAATGTTTTTGGTATAATTTCTGTTAATTCCAGTATGATTAGCTAAAATTCTGATTCTAGGAGTGTGTAATTAAAGTCGTGTATTGTTTAATTTAGTAGAATTTTGTATATTGCTCTATTTTACATTAGTTTTCATGGATTCAAACTAATTGTTATGTGTTAATTGATGAATTAAGGTTGCAAACTTGGTTCTACTTTAGATCTTCATGTATTTCTTGAAAAAGGTTACACTAAGTGGATGATTAGTTTGATGCTTGCATTTTAGATTTTAATTCCTTGTTTGCTTGAAAAAGGAATTTGGAGTTTCACTTGTAAATGCTTGATTTGCTTGAAAGAGAAAACATAATTTATGTTAAGGCATTGGATTGTTGAGTAGATTCTACATGAGAGGCTTTGAAAAGAGCTCCTATGATAAGCATGTTTTTATTGAGAAATGCAATGTTGTGTTTTTGAAATTAATCCAGCCTATCGAGAGGCAGCTAATGTTATTGAGCAATCATATCAATCTATTATTTGACATCAATACCCACTTCCGCACAAGCTTAGATTGTCACTCCACTTGCAAAACACTCGGTTTAATTTACTTTTGTCAAAATTGGTCACTAAATCATCTTAAATTGATATTTGGAGTTATCCAACTTTGTTTATGTTGAACACTTGTTACTATCCCACAACAATATATTAGATCACAATTTGTCTTCATAATTGAATTCTTATATATATCACTCTTTGTGGTATTTGACCCGATCTCATAGGTTGGGTAATTATATTACTAAAGATCACATGTTTGTTAAATTATTATACGAGTAATATGAGTGTTATCAAACTGGTGTCACTGTCAGAGAGTGGTGCATAGAATTTTTTACTGATTTAGTTGTAGTAGAACACTCTTACCATTTGTTTCATTGGTGTGCTCTTGATAGGTGACGATATGAGTATCAGTGGGAGCAATGCTGCTAGTCACAATGGGCAGAATGATGATGTTGGAAACTGGAACGACGTAAATCTTAACACACTAGGGAGTGGGGGAGCCATCGGTTACCCCCAACTATGGGTAATGCTATATTTCATGTGACTGGAACCATGTTCAAACTACTCCAAATGAAGGGAACATTTGGGGTCTAGCTCTTGAAGATCCCATGATAACATTCACAACTTTGTTGATGTATGTGGCCCATTTACTTTATAGAATATCACTCAAGAGTCCATTTGGATGAGGTTGTTTCCTTTCTCTCTAATGGGGGAAGCAATAAAATGGTTGGCTGAATTATCAAGGGACTCAATTACTTTGTGGGAAGAGCTAACAGAGGTGTTCTTTGAGAGATTCTTTCCTCATTCGAGAATGTTGATGCTTCAGGATAGCATTCAAAATTCTAAGCGAGTTGATGTTGAACCAATCCATGAGACATGGTTGAGGTTCCAAAAATGGTGTTACAATGTCCTAATCACGAGTTGTCAGATAAAGTGTTGTGGTAATACTTTTATCGGAGTCTTGATACCGTGAACAAGGGGTAGCCGATCAGCTCATTTGTGGTGATATCATGCGACAAGCATTAAGGTAGCTTCAGTTTTGCCTGATGAGATGACTAAGATTAATCGTGCATGGCATACAAGGGAAGATCAAGTGTCTCCTCTTAATGTGGGTTTAACTAACGAGCAACTAGAGAAGAACCAAGACTGTGATGAGAACTTGGCAAAAATGATGACCCAACTTGACTTGTTGTCAAAGAATGTCATGGGGGTGGATTCAAGTTGGTGAATGTGGTTGGTGGTGGTAGTGGGTTGATTTTCTCGGGTTTTGGGTTAGATAAATTTGAGATTTT